CTCCCACGTTGCTGTCAGGAACCCAGTTATTCAAGCCATGTATCTTTGTTAGCAGGAAGTTGGAGTTTGGAGCCTTAGCTGGGCGTTAAAACAAAGCACTCCTATATAAAACACAGGCAACTGTTAGGCTCAATGCTCATCCTGGGTTTAATTATTTTTTGGCAAGAATATTTAATAGCAGTATTTCTTAGTACTTTAAATGACAAGGCATATAATGTTTGTTCTTTTAGCAACTGGTTGATGTGTTCCATTGGTAATGACTTTTAATTTATTATAGCTTCCTGTCGTCCCCAAGGGATGTTAAAACCATTGACGATTGTTATCTGAACCAATTATTTTAATAGCAGTTGCAAAATGATCATTTTCAAGTAGTGTCACTGCCTCTACATTTATTAATGAATGTTAACAACACTTCTTCTGCAATAGGGCTGTTGGTTTTACTTGAAGCATGTTTCATATCAGAAAATCAGAATAAATAAAGGAAAAAGTAAGCATCAATTTTCAGAGTAATGCAATGGTATCTTGGCAACCTCCAGGGGTATCTAGGGTATTTAAATTTTTTTGTTTGTTTTTTTTTTGAAGGCAGAGAGACAGATACACAGACAGATATCTCCCATCTGCTGGTTGATTCCCCAAATGCCCCCAGCAGCCATGACTAGGTCAGGCCAAGCCGGGAAAAGAATCCAATCCGACTCTCTCGCTGGGTGGAAGGGATCCAAGTATTTCAGCTACCATCTCCTGCCTCCCAGAATGTGCTTTAGCGGGAGGCTAGAATGCAACGGGAGGCACTCCAGGATGGGATGCAGGTGACCCAAGCAGCCAAACACCTGGCTCCTCCAGTCAGTTATGCATCTTCTTTGGTGGAGGGTTAGCCCATTATACCACCATACTGGCTCCAAACCATCCATGTTTTAAAGATGACTTTGTTCTTTTTAGTAAGAAATAATTTTTTTAAGTATGCATATGTTATTAAATTGTTACTTTAGATTTTTCCCCCAGTAGACATGTAAACTGTTTTTAAATATTAAGAGATGGGTTTTACACTGATATTTCTAAATGAAAATTTAAGTATAGGCCTTTCTTTTAATAAGTAGCTATATTTAATTTTTTTTAAATGTACAGGAAAGAGGCCAGGGTTGTGTAACAGAATTAAGACACAGCCTGGGATGCCAGCATCCCATATGAGTACCAGTTTGAGTCCCTCCCTGTTCCTCTTCATTTCCAGCTCCCTGTTTATGTGTCCAGGAAACCAGCAGAAGATGGCCCAAGTGCTTGGGTCCTTGGTACCCACATGGAAGTCCCAGGTAGGGATCCAGGTTCCTAACTTTGGCCTGGCCCATACCTGGCTGTTGTGGCCATTTGGGGAATAGGCCATTGGATAGAAGGGATATCGCCCCACCCCAACTCCACCTTTCAAAATAAATAAGGAAATAGATCTTGTTTCAAAGTAATATCTATCGGGCCAGGTGCGAGAGCGTAGCAGTTGGGGTCCTCACCTTGAATGCGCCAGGGTCCCATATGGGTGCCTGTTCTAATCCAGGTGGCCCCGCTTCCCATCTGGCTTCCTGCCTGTTACCTGGGGAGGGCAGTCGAGGACGGCCCAAAGGTTTTGGGACCCTGCACCTTCCAGGGAGACCTGGAAGAAGCTCCTGGCTCCTGGCTATGGATTGGCTTAGCTCCAGTGTTGCGGCCGCTTGGGGAGTAAACCATCAGATAGAGGATCTTCCTCTCTCTCTTTCCTCCTCTCTGTATATCTGCCTTTCCAATAAAAATAAACCTTTAAAAAATTATGAAACCCATTCTCTAAGACCTTTCTAACCTTGCCAATCATATATTTTATTTCTAATGAAAAATGGTAAACATATAAAAAGTAACCAGGCGAGTATACTGAACCCCTATAACTACTGCCCAGCCTTAAACAGCAACTCATATCCAACATAAGGCTTTTACTTCAATTTTATATGTAGACTTTTCTGAAAATGTTGTCATTGCATTTGCTATTACACATAATATGCATGTAATGGTTTCAGAATAATAGCAAATTTTACTACGAAAAATTAGATTATTGACTGAAGGTGTAAGATTTCAATCTTTTTTCATTAGGATGTATGCCACTGAGAGTATACAGGCAAAATGATGCCTCATAAGATTGATTGGATTAGTTCATTTCTCTGTGGTCATATTACTGACTCGATATACAGTTGAACTCATTTGTCTTTGTTTTTAATTTTTAGTGTCTTTTTGCTTTTCAATATTTGATTTTGAGTTTTTAAGGGTTTGTTTTATTTGGGAGCTAGCACTGTGGCTCAATCGGGTGATCACCACCTGCTGGTACCAGGATCGCATCTGCGTACCAGTCCATGCCCTGACTACTCTGCTTCTGTTACAGCTCTTTGCTTGTGGCCTGGGAAGGCCACAGAGGGTGGCCCATGTCCTTGGAACCTTGCTACCCACAAGAGAGACCTGGGGGAAGCTCCTGGTTCCTGGCTTTGGATCACCTCAGCTCCAGCCATTGCAGCCATTTGAGGAGTGAACCAATGGATGGAAGGCTCTCTGTCTCTCCTCTATAACTCTACCTTTCAAATAAAGATAAATAAATCTTAAAAAAAAAAAAAAAAAGTAAGTCAGGTTGATGCAGTAGCCTAGTGGCTAGAGTCCTCACCTTTCACATGTTGGGATCCCATATGGGCGCCGGTTCTAATCCCAGTGGCCCCACTTCCCATCCAGCTCCCTGTTTGTGGCCTGAGAAGGCAGTCGAGGATGGCCCAAAGCTTTGGGACCCTGCACCTGTGTGGGAGACCCAGAAGAAGCTCCAGGCTCCTGGCTTTGGATCGACACAGCTCTGACCATTGCAGCCACTTGAGGAGTATATCATGTAGATGGGAGTATATCATCAGATGGAAGATCTTCCTCTCTCACTCTCCTCCTCTCTGACTTTCTTTTTTTTTAAAGATTTATTTATTTATTGGAAAGTAAGATATACAGAGAGGAGGAGAGACAGAGATTAAGATCCTCCATCCGATGATTCACTCCCCAAGTGAGCACAATGGCCGCTGCTATGCCAATCGAAGCCAGGATCCAGGAACTTCTTCCGGGTCTCCCACACGGGTGCAGGGTCTCAAGGCTTTGAGCCATCCGCGACTGCTTTCCCAGGCCACAAGCAGGGAGCTGGATGGGAAGTGGGGCTGCCAGGATTAGAAGCGGCGCCCATATGAGATCCCGGCGCATTCAAGGTGAGGACTTTTAGCTGCTAGGCCACGCTGCTGGGCCCCTCTCTTTCTAATATAAATAAATAAATAAGTCTCAGGGAGCTGGATCACAAGTGAAACAGCCAGGACTTGAACAGGTATCCATATGGGATGCCAGTGCCACAGATGCGTGCTTAACCTGCTATGCCATCGCTCTGGCCTCTCATTTTTAATTTTTTGGGGTAATCGCATGGGACTCAGTGAAAATGATTTCAGAAGGTTCACTCAGAGAAGTTTCACTTCTGTCTCTACAACCTCCACCTTGTCCCCCTCTCTCCTAAATGTGAGCATTCTTCTTAGGTTTTCTCTCCTCAGCGTTTATTTTTTCACATCAGCGTCAAACATTTATAACAGATCTCTGGGGTGGGGTAGGTAATCAATCTTTTCCAGTCAGCCTCCCTTTAGAATTGTTCCCCCCTGCAACTCACTCATGTTTTACTTGTTAGCTTTTAAATATCTACCTCCTCCCTAGAACCTTGCTAAAGACAAAATGTTGCTGCTTGTCTTGTCTTTACCCAGTTCCTATGTTGATGTACACACTGTGATGTTGAAAAACTCATACTTTAACTCATTCTCTGTAATCTCAGCGCATGATTTGACAGTTCTCTACCCTGACTTTTTTTATATACCCTGGCTTTTATATATTTGTTGTCTGAATTTAATAAGTCTTCAGTTATTTTGGTGTTCAGAATAATATCTTTCCTTTTTCATTTTTTTACCATGTCCACTGTGACATATGACTACATTCACTTTAATATACCACATTCAGTTACCTTAGTATTTTATTAGTATTCCATTACTGTCTTTCTGTGTTTGTTTAATAAATTTCTGTGTGTTTCCAAGAAGTGTGTAATTAATTCTCTGGAAGTCAGGGCTTCTCTATCACTGTAAGGGGAAAAAGGCAAATCTATTAGGAATATAGGGATAGCTGAATAAATATTGATTGAAATTAAGGGCATATTTTGCTTGGCTAACTTACGGACATGCTTGCCAAGAATTTGATAACACTGGTGCCAATGCTGTATTTCAATCCAAGCTGACCAAAGATTAAATCATGAATCTACTTTCTTCCCCACCAAAAAAAAAAAAAAATTTACTAAAGTGCAGGTGGTTTGGGAAGTATTCAGATTAATATATGGGAAAGGAGTCTCATTTTTTAAAAAGTACAAATATTCTGCCCAGAGGACTAAAAATAAAAGCCTAGTCTTTGTTTCCAGAATATAGCTTTAACATACACGCAAGGAAAATGCTTTCAGATGGCTGTTACTTTTGGTGCCTGGCCTCCATTCCCTTTTGGCTTAGCTCCATTATTGGTGGCCCAGAACTTGGCTGGTGAGTGGAAGACTTGGAAGCAAGCCTGACTGCCTGGCACAACCTACTTCTGTTGACTTGGATTGCTTTTGATCTTATTTGCTATTTTATCAACTCTTCTTTGTACTGCTGAATGAGTGGAGTTTCTGCGGTTTTTATAGAGGAATTAAAACAAGAAAAGCCAGACTATTTACAACACTTTAAAAATGTGACACTAGTCCTATAATAGCCTGAAGTTACTCATCGTGGGATGAGAGTCTATGCTAATTTGTTTTATGATTAGAGTAGGAAGAAGAAACTGAAGTGGTGTGTCCCATCTGTCTACTACTCTCTCTTCTCTCACCTCACCTCAAAGAAGATGCTGGAAATTGTTCAGAATAGATTAATTTTAGAATATATGTGTATTCATGCTAAAGAAACATTTCTTGGGTTTGCTTACAGGTGCTGTTATTGCGCTGGAATTTAATGGCGATGGTGTTGTAGAAGAATGTCGGCTTATTGTAGACAAGATCTTCAGTGGAAGCCAGGTACAAGATTTTATTGAGTATATTTCAAGCTACGTTTTATTTAATCTCTGTATTTATTGTCAGATAGTACTTGTATCCCCTGGTGTTGCATGGGATTTTTTTAAAGCACATCTTGATTTTTAGTACCTATGGTAAGTAAAAATAATTGAGACCTAAGCTGTGGGTATTCCTTGCTAAACTAAAATTTTAATGGCTAAAAAATAATCACAGAATATGAATTTACTTAATAAGAACTTTCAGTAATGTATTCATTTTCTCAAGTAAAATTATTAGATGTTTCCTCAAGATATTTCTAAAACTGGTAACACATTGAAAACCATTTTATTTCTGAGATTATATTCTTTAGACAATGCTGTTGCCAGTTCATTTTTATTTGCTTTAGTAAAGTTTCATCAGAAATTGCACTTGAAGTATATTACATGTGAGCTTTTTATAAACATGTTCATAAGGTTGTTGTATCTAAGAATTTCAGACTTAATACTTAAAAATGAATCATATGAAAGAAAACTAAATCAGTTTATAGTTGACTTTTTTAATACCTGAGATAAAATTGTTTGTTCTTCCTCTTATTCGACTTACGTTTCCTTGAATTTGTAAAATTTAAAGTACTTGGTTTTCAGTCTCATTTTATTATCACAATAGAACTGAGGGAGAGGGAAAAGATCAGATTAAATAGAAAAACAAATCTACGAGGTAAAATGGTTTTATGATTTGGAGTTCCTACGGCTGGATGTTTTAGAGATTAAATAATCCGACTTTCTTATCATCAGGTATGGAAACTGAGCCTGGAGAGGTTATTACATTGCCAACACTAGACAATTAGTTTATGATCAAACTAGAATACAACCAGCTCTTCCCTAATTACTTGCTGATCTTTTAAAAAGCAACTTTTGAAGAGTTCTGTATTGATGTTACTAGAAAGCTTTCTTAAAATTAGTAAAATGTCTTTAGCAGCTTGGAAAGAAGAATCCCAGATTTCTTTTCCCAGTCTATATTGAGATTATTATTAGAAAAACAGAAGAAACAAGGGTGCTTTAAATAAACTTTCTTACTTACTAGCTTTCATAATATTAAGTGTTCTACTAAACAGTAAAATTCTAGAGATGTCATAAAATAGAATTGAAGTATTAGGAAAACCAAACACCTTAACTGTATTGCAAATACTTACAGAAGAACTTAAATTTATATTATAGCTATTAAAACCATGTTATATAAGTTCTAAAGAAAATCTATAAACATTACAAATGATGTACTCATATTTCTTTTAAATAATCAGATGGGACTTTGTGGAGAACGGAGGCTTTGGCACTTATGGATCACTAGTATTTTTTTTTTTTTTTGGTTTATATTGAAAATAGATGTTTGTATCAGAAAGCAAAGAAACAGCATCTGAAGATATAGACAACTTCTACAACTTTGCTGATATACAGATGGGCATATGAAGTGCAATATGGAACCAAAGCCTTGGTATTGAGCCCTTTCCAACTTGAATATATAAAATTTGGTAACATATTTTTGTGTATTAGCAATGGTTTGTATTCACGCTAAAATTGCTGCTTTATTTTTAATAAATTGCTTAATTCTGCATCCCTTACTTGAGGTTCAAAAATGGTTCATTTTTAAAAATTAGTTTTAATCACCTTAAAAACTATTTAAGCTACTTCATAAGCTTAGTCTTGCTTAGTCTTGTTTCTCTGCATACGATGCTCTAATTACAAAATGTAAGTGGCTAACAGTTCATGATTCTAGTCCTATTAAATAATCTTTCACATTATAGTAATTTAAACTTTCCTCATTGCTCCATACTTCTTTGAAAATACTTTTCATTGAGTACTTACTTATTTTTATATATTTTTTAGTTCAGAGGGATTTGTCCCTCGATGGTCAGTTGCATCTACACAATTTTTCTCATATATGTACATCTAGTTTGAACAATTGCTTCCTACTTGCATTATATGGAGTTGACATGATGCTTTGTAAATGACATTTTTAAAAGAAATGGGCATTTTATAACAACGTTTGCAAACAACTCTACTAACTGATGTTGGTATAGCTATGTAAAGACTACTTTGTACGTAGTCTATTTAGTACATTCCACATTGTTTAGTTTTTAAACACAAATGCTAGATGGCTCTTCTGCTTCCTGGGAAGACAAGGAAAATGCAGTACTAACATTACAGAAGCTCAGAGACCAGCAGTTGTTTTGTCAGCTTGAGAGCTATCAAGAGAATTAGGACAAAACCTTGTAACATTTAGGTAAGAAATACTTCAGCATTAAGCTGTGCTGATGATTTAGAACCTTGGGATGTGTGTTTTTTTAATAGATATACAATTCACGTCTAGTAATCTTCAAGTATGATTTTAAAAATTACTTGGGTTGCTTTAAACCATTATTTCTCAAATCTACTTAATCATAATATCTTACCAAGAAGCAGGGAAGTTACTTGTTTAAAACTCTACATTCTCAGACACAGTCCTCAGATGCATGAGTTCAGTCCTCAGAGGAATCTGTTTTAAGGAATCCAGTTGTAATCTATCCTAAGTGCAGAAGGGGTTGATAGGTTGATCTTGTGAGAAGGTGCTGAGCATGCCCTCCACATACCAGATAGCAGCTTTTCCAGGCCTGTTTTTAAAAAGAATTTGAAATTTAATTCTATTTTGATAAAACTAGGGTTGAACATAATCACTTGTAAACATTCTTCTTATGATTGTCACATGAAAGATGTATTTTCACTGTAAAAATTTCTGAATACTTTCAGATCAATGTATAACCCTTCACCACATGGTATGTTGATGTGCAGCAAGAATCCATTCATAGACTTCCCACTTCAGTAATAAAGAGCTCCCAATCTGGGCCTGGCCTCACACTAACCATTAGCATTACAGTTATTTTATAAGAATGTTCCATATTATAAAATCAACATGATTTCATAAGATGCAGAAAAAAATAGCTGATCATAATTTACAAATAATCCTTACAAATAGAGGGCATTAATTTTTCCCTTAGTTAAGCTCATTTAAACATTCCTTCCTGTCATGATTACATTATTGAACACCAGTCACATTTAAAATAATTACAGTACTTGTTCTTTAGAAATAAAATGCAATGTTATTTAAAACTATAAATTGAGTTCATTTTATCAATAGTATTTTGGCAAAAACAAAGAAATAACACACATAAAGATTTTAATTTAAAAACTTTCCACTAAATTTAGTATTTAACCAAAGCCTAAACTTTTATACTTTTATATGTTTTCCAATCTGGCTTATGAGTGTTTGAAAAACTTTTTATATTGAAGCCGGGATGAGCATCTGGCCTAGTGGTTAGGATGCCCACTTGCCACGTGCACAGTGCATGTATCTGGTTCCTGCCCCCAGCTTCCTGCTAATTCAGACACAGGGAGGCAGAAGTAGCTGCACAAGCAGTTGGGTCAATTCCCCCTACATGGGAGACCCCATTAAGTTCCCAGTTCCTGGCTTAAGTTCCTGCTCAGCCCCAGTGTTGCAGGCATTTGGGGAGTTAAATAGCAGATGGAACACCTCACTGTCTCTCAAAAGAAAAATAGTGCTATGACCAGTTTTTTGTCTGTTCGTTGGTTTTACAAGTCTAAATTTTAATAGTAATCAGAATGTACTATATTTCACCTCTGAATAGCTTTTGGATTCAGGAATCAGTAGTGATGAAAAAATATTTTTATTAAGTTATACATACATGTTTAAACATTATATTGTTTTGTTTCTCTTGCATTAGTGCACTGTTTTTATTTTGTCTGTATATTTGTTTAGCTTTTGTATATAATTTATCTAATGTTTATAAAATGATTTATAATAAATGTTAAAATGAAAAATGGCTTAAAAGCAATTTTTTGAAGAGTACTTCTATAACATACATTTATTCATACGTGTGTCAAAATTTGACACAGTCTCTTTATTTATTTATTTATTTATTTTTATTAATTGCATTGCATTATGTGACACAGTGTTATGGGCACTGGGATTCCCCCAGTTGAGGTTCTTTCATTGGAAGTATTTACCAAGCATAAAGTCCAGCGTCTTATTATCCTAGTGGGTTCAACGATTTCTTGGTGAGACCATCTCTGGTCTGAAGGTAAAGCCAGCAAATTATCATCCCAATCAATTAAAAGCCCGAACATAACATCAACAGCCATTTACAACCTTATGGCATTAATTGACATGGTATTGATTAATAGTATGTTAATAGGAAAATGCAGTTTCTTAACTACATCCTGTGACTTCTTCATAGACATTTCAATTTTTGGTTTATATTCAACCGGATTCCATACAGTTATCAGTTCAGGTACAGTACATTTTTTAGGATGGGTGTGCAGAGAAATCCCCAATACCCCAGTGAGGCGTAACTAATCTTTGTGTCCCACCTAGTGAGGCATGTTTTGATCCACGCTGGCCATTTCCTGTCGGCACAGTCTCTTAAAATTAAAAATATAATGGTCTACAGGCCTAAGTTGTACAGTGGGTTAAATTGCTGTTGGTAATGTCTGCATCTCACATCAGAATGCCAGTTTGAGCCCCAGCTGTTCTGCTTCTCATCCAGTTTCCTGCTAATGCACCTGATAAGGCAATAGATTATGGCCCAAGAGCTTGGACTTCTGCCATGCAGCTAGTTCCTGGCTCCTGGCTTCAGTCTGGCCCAGCTCAGGCTGTTGTGGTCATTTGGGAGCTAACCAGTAGATGAAGATCTTTCTTGCTGGCTGTCACTTTGCCTTTCAAACAAATCTTTAAAAATATACTAGAGTGCCCTAAATTATGTTTTATACCAATGAAAAACTATATGCTGTTTTCTGTGGGTATGTGTGCATCTATAAAGGCACTTAGGAAAAAAAGGAAGTAGAAAACCTACATGAATATAATGAATGCCTAATATTATGCTTCCTTGGCTAGCATAAAACACATTTTGTTGTGACTGAATATTTACTAAGATTATACAGCTTTCTCTTCTATATTAAAAAAATATATGGGGTGGGCCTTTAGACTAATGGTTGAGATAACCTACATCCTCTCTATCAGTGCCTGGGTTCCAGTCCCAGCTTCTCAGTGTGTACAATACCAAGCTTCGTTTTCATGCATACCTCCAGCACCATGCTTATGGGAGACCTAGATTGGGTTCCAGGTTCCTGGCTTCAATTTGGTCTAGCCCCAGCTGTTGTGGGCATTTAAGGAGTGAACCAGTGGGTAAGAGCTCTCCCGTTTGTTCTTTCTTTCCTCCCTTCCATCCTCTGCCTCTCAAATAAATGAATGAATAAAAATGCTTTAAACAATGAATTGCGTGATGCACTTTCGGGGTTATATAATGGCTCTTATGCCATTGAATATCCAAGTGCTTTTTGTTGTTGTTTTTAAGATTTATTTATTTTTATTGGAAAGGCAGATATACAGAGAGAAGGAGAGACAGAGATTAAGATCCTCCGTCTGATGATTCACTCCCCACGTGACCACAACGGCCGGTGCTGTGCCAATCCAAAGCCAGGATCCATGAACTTCCTCCAGGTCTCCCATGTGGGTGCAGGGTCCCAAGGCTTTGGGCCGTCCTCGACTGCTTTCCCAGGCCACAAGCAGGGAGCTGGATGGGAAGTAGAGCTGCCTGGATTAGGACTGGCGCCCAAATGGGATCCCAGCGCATTCAAGGTGAGGACTTTAGCCACTAAGCCACCACACCAGGCCCCTATCCAAGTGTTTTGTACCTAACTTTGCTCTCTCCCAGCTCACAGATCAGAAGTACTGAAAAAGCAGATTGATTAGTTCCTAAAGTCACATGTATTAGTTTTATTTCTACTTATAAAAGTTCTGCATGTCCATTTAGAGCACTAGAAACATGCAAAAAAAAAAAAAAAACCAGCAAATTCGTATTGGCTAATTCTTGGTGTTTAACATTTGTTTTTCTCATGTATAAGGTATCTTACTGTTCTCTGTGAGAAGGTACTATCATTTGGATATGATTACTCCTTCAAAACCCATTCTAGAAAATACTTTATCTCTTCAAGGAACAACACTGAAAGCCAAGCATCATTTGAATGTTGATAATGAAAAATTATTTGTGAAAACGGAATTATGTGGTAATGACTTGTGTTCATCTTTTGATAGCGTGCCGGTGGGGGGTGGGTACCAGCCTTTATAATATTTCATCTCTTTGGCTATTTGTGACACACTTCAGCAGGATGTCCAGAAATGGTCATTTCTTCCTTTTCTAGCATCTGAAAAATAAGTGGGCAGAGGCGGTAGAAGCGTCAGCATTCTCACCTCAACTCCGACCTTGCCTCTGGGGCCTGCCTTCACAGTGTCGACTTGATCTGGTCCACTTGTATTTGGACTAATGGAAATTAGCTTGTAAATTGTGTGACAAGTATTTAACCGATGCTGTAAAGTGCCTTGAAAATGAAAAGTGCTTGACAAATGTTAAGTATCATTGTGCTGATTAAAGTGATTATGATGTTCTTTAAAGCAGTTCAGCTTTGAAGCCACACATCTGATTAAAGTGTGCGACTGAATAGGGGGAAAAAAGTGCAACAGGCTGATTTAAGTTCTGGCGTGGATGTTGTGATGCAGTGGGTTAAGCTCCCACTTGGGATTGGAACCCCCACATCCCATACCAGAATGCCTGGTTTAGGTCCCTGCCATCCATGTGTCCCACTGTGCTTTCTTAATGTGTGTGACGGCAAATGACAGGCCAGGTACTTAGGTTCCTGCCATGCATGAGGGAGACCTAGATGGACTTCCAAGCTCCTGGCTTTAGCTGGATATCCCTAGATATTGCAGATATTTGGGAAGTGAACCAGTAGATAGAAGATATCCCTCCTCCTCTTGCTGTCTCTTTAATTCTTAATCTGTCCATCATGCCTTTCAAAGAAATAAATCTTTAAAGTAAATGTTATTTCTGTATTTATTGATGTAATTCCATTTGCCAAATATAAGTCAGTCTGTTACGTTCATTAATAGAACCGTCATACTTTCACCCTAACTTAAAAAAAAAATTATTTATTTGAAAGGCACATTTATTTATTTGAAAGGCTTGTATCTGCTGGTTTGCTACCCAAATGGCCACAACCGGACTGGGCCAGGCTGAAGCCAGGAGTCAGAAGCCAGGGTGGCAAGGACTAAAGCACTATGAGCCATCATTTTCTGCCTCCCAGACACATTAGCAGGGAACTGGATTGGAAGCTAGAACTCAAATCACACATTTTAATATGGGCTACAGGTGTCCCTAAGCAATAGCATAACCCACCAGACCACATGCCTGCCCCCCAACTTCTAAATACCTCAAATGATGTGATTTCACAACCTATTTCAGAGTCATCTCAAAAATTTTAAGTCTGTAAAGGGTCAACATTTACAGATGATAAGGAATATGGGGAAAGCTTAGGTGGCCTGTCCACTCATACTGTAATCTCAGAACTACAGTGTATGCCTCTTGCCTTGATTACTGGGAGAATACTAGATTCATCTGTCTCTTCTGCAGAAAGCCTTTTCTAATACTCTCAAGTAGAAAGTCCCATTCCTTCCTCAGTGCTTACACAGCACTATCGATTTCACATTCCCGAAACACTCGGTTCCATTTGTTTTGTTTATTGATGCCTCTCTTGCTACTGCAAGTGCAGTGTGCAGACCCAGCATCATTCGCACCTATGAACTTAGTAGAATCTCAGGCCCCACTCCAGATCTGTGAAGGAAGTCACTTGGTTCTTGGACCTATCATCCTGCCTCTTCTAGCTGTTAACATCTCCCTCCTCTCATTGTCCAGAGATGAGCTTGAGGGTCATGAAGAAAAAATGTGCAGAGGTGCTAGGTCACCACCTGAGATGCTGGCATCCTGTAGGAGCACGTGTTCGAGTCTAGTCTGCTCTGCTTCATCTCCAAGTGCTTGGGCCTCTGCCACTCAGGAGGAAGTCACAGTTGGAGTTCCAGCTGCCTGGTTTGGGTGACCCAGGCCCAGCCAGTCTGGCCATTTCAGGAGTAGGGCATCAATGGAAGATCTCACTCTCTTTTTCCCTCTGGAACTCAGGGCCTCTGATAAATAAGTAAATACATTTTTAAGTGTGTAGAATGGTCCAGGAAAGTGTTGAGTGCTGCTCCAACTTTTGGATGGAATACGGATGGCAGTATTTTTTTTTCCTGGAATAATGACTTTGTAGTAAATGTAAAATCTGAAACAAAAGTAAAATCTTAAAATTCATTCTACCTTTATGTATTTTAAATGATTATCCTGTCTCCTCAATATAAATACATTGATGTCTCCGTTAGAGACTTAATTTCTTATTTAGAAAATATTTCCTTGGGACCGGTGGCATGGTCTAGCGGCTAAAGTCCTTGCCTTGAACACGCTGGGATCCCATATGGGCGCCAGTCCT